TTCGCCGGGTTAACATTGAGGCCTCTCGGTTGAGCCCAGCTCAAGGCCGTATTCAGAGCCTCCTCAGCTCTTCTACACAAGTAATTTGGATCCTTTCCCTTTAAAAGTATTACGACATCGTCTGCATAGCAGACAGGTCTAAGTCCTTTCTCGGTTAGGGTCCTTAGGAGGCTATTAATCGTGGTGACCCAGAGTAAAGGTGACAAAATGCCACCCTGTGGTATACCGCGAAATACCTTTTTCCTGATAGTTATATCGTACATCTCGCAGCTTATCCATCTGTTCCTTAGCATGTAGTTGATCCAGTTACGGAGCACCCGGTCAACATAAAACTGGTCTAGGGATTGGATAAGGGTATCAGTGTGCACGTTATTGAAAGCGCCTTCGATGTCAATGCATACTGCCAGTGTATACAGTTTGCTATCGAAAGATTCACTTATGTAGTGGACAACTTCATTTAAAGCGGTTTCCACCGATCGTCCCTTTACATAAGCATGCTGCTTATATTTAAGGTCATTGTATGGTATGCTGCTTTTAACCATGCTATCGACTATCCGTTCCAAGGTTTTAAGTAGGAAGGACGTAAGACTTATCGGTCGATAGGACTTAGGTGTCGCATAGCTAGGTTTCCCTGGTTTGGGTATAAATATTACCTTTGCATCCTGCCATTTAACTGGGGTATATGCCAATTTTAAGCATGCAGTGAATATCTGTGACAGATGTACGGAAACCAGTCCCGCCTCCATCTGCAAAAGTGCCGGGAAAATTCCATCCGGCCCTGCAGCTTTATAGGGAGCAAAGCTCTTGATTGCCCCTTTAACCATGTCAGTTGTAATAACTATTTCCGTGTTACCCTCCCCTTCCTCCAATATCGGTTCATCTGTGTTATTCGATATACCGGGTGGGAAATGAGAATCCATTAGGAGTTTCATTGTCTCCTCCATATCCTCAAGCCTCCTGCCCGTGTCATCGATCATAGATTCCGGTTGGACATGAGTTTTGGATAGGAATTTTTTTATCTTCGATACGTCATTTACGCTATCTACCTGTTCACAGAAAAGTTTCCAGGAGTCTCGTTTGGCTCTTCGAACGATTTTCTTATATTCACCAAGTTTATTACGATACTCATCCCAGTATACTGCGGTCTTTTTACGCCGTGCCCGGTTAAATAGTTTGCGAAGAGTCTTCCCAAGGTTCCGGATCTCCCCAGTTACCCAGGGTTTTTCCTGGGCAGATCTCTCTCGCAGAGGGCAGCTGTCCTCGAACGATTCAACCAGGGCACTTGTGAACGTTTCCACTTTGGCATCTATATCCTCTTTATTTCGACATTGAAAAGTGTCCTGACCTAAACGGTTCTTTAGTAAGGCCCCGAACATTGTCCAATTAGTTTTAGACTTATTCCGAAACTTTATCGGCTTTGGTGGTGGCCTTAGTATTTTGAATCTTATGTACCGATGATCAGAAAAGGAGTGCTCGTCCGAAACTCTCCAATCCTGAATTTCGTTTATAAGCTCTTCTGAACATATAGTTATATCTAATACTTCTTCTCTGATTCTATTGACGAAGGTAGCTTTATTACCTAAGTTCAATGTTATCAAGTCTTTAGTATTAAAGAAATCCATGAGGGCTTGTCCCCTGCGATTGGTGTTTGTACTACCCCAAGCTACATGATGCGAGTTGGCATCACAACCTATTACAATTTTCTTATTTTTCCTTTGTGCCTCTTCAACCAGTTTCATCAGATCCGACGTTGGTGGTAGGGTCGGAGAATCGAAAGGCAGGTAAATAGATGCAAGGTATATGTTGCCTCGACCTTGCTTCAGCACCGTTGCATCCGATGTTGATAATCCTGTTGAGAGGAGAAAACATAAGTTCTTGTGACATAAGATACATGTTCTCGGGCGAGATCCTGTATCAGCGTAGAAAAGTTGGAAATTTACGTGATTTAATCCAGAAACCTTGTTGCGAATCGTCCAAGGTTCCTGGATTAAAGCTATATGTATTTTACCTGTGTTGATTTTAGCCATCAGAGCGTTGGTAGCTGTCTCGCTCCGATGGAGGTTTATTTGGATAACCTCAATCATGGTCATCCATTAAACTGTCTTCCAGCGAGTTGGTGGTCACCTCCTCGCTCTTTGGATTTGACTCCTCCGGATAGCCTGAAGTGGCTATTAATGCAGTGAGTACTGTTGATGGCACTGCGGTGTCCTTATCAGGCATAGGAATAGCAGTATTTTTAATAGACACATTCCCAATTCTGGAGAGCATTGCTGTTCTGTCTTCTGGCGGGTGAGTGATTTCCTCCTCGCTTTTAGGATTTGACTCCTCAACATTGCTAGTACTTGCTAATGATGCTTTGGGTACTGTCTTAGGTGTTTTAGTGTCCTTGTCGGGGCCGGTTTTGACAGCCCTTTCAATCGGCGCCTTCCCAATTTTGGAAAGGGCAACTACACTTTCTTCTGGCGAGTTAATGGTAAATTCCTCGATTTTAGGATTTGACTCCTCAACGTTATCAGTAGTGGATACTGTGGTCTTAGGTTTTTTAGTGTCCTTTTCGAGGCTTGTTGTAACAGCCCTTCCAATCGGCACCTTCCCAATTTTGAATATGACAGATTTAGAGGCGAAGTAAGCCCTACCTTTATTCTTGGCAAGACTAGCCATGGATTTCTGGTCGATACCTATTACAAATAAAGTTCCCTCAGGTTCTTCTTTCCTGTAAAAGACATCCCATTTTTCCACGGCCAGCTCAGCATTTTGACCTCCAAGAATTTCCAGTATACGTTCATTAGCCAGTTTACTGCCCCATCCTTTTATGTAGACAGTGGACTTTAGGAGCACCGGAAGCTCGCTCTTCTTTGCCAGTCCCAGCCTAGCGCCGTCCCAGGGAGGAGGGATACTTTCCACCAAGTTCTTTAGGGTGCTAACACATTGGTGAGATGCCAACCTCATCAACATCACGCCCATGCTGAACTCGCAGCTCTCGCTCTCTATTGGTTGTTTGCCCTTTGAAGCTATTGCATGGTCCACTATCTTATTGTTGACCAGGTCTTCTATTTTACTCTGTTGGTCTATTGGAATTTTGCCTGTCGGATTACCGGCATCGTAAACTGCATAGCAGAGATCGTCCCGGTGCCTACTTTTGGCAACTTTGGCGTAAGATGGCGGCTCTTTACCTTTTCCTCCGTCTAGCTTCTCCTTCCTCGTTTTTCGGGGCTTCTTTTGAGATTCCCTTACCTTCGAGGTTGATTTCGCCGACGTGTTCGTCTTCGGAATATCTGGCTTGGCGTTGTCACCCTTACTCGCAGGATTCTCACTTGAGATTCCTTTGAGTGAAGTATGGCTTGGCTTCGACTGTGTATTAGAAGACGGGGAGCTCTTTTTCTTCTTAGGCTTATTCTCAGTTGTCAACTCCTCGGGTGACCTGATCCTTTTTGCCTCAGATCTTGTGAGAGAGTCCGATTCCTTTGGAGTGTCGTGGGATTGACTAACTATGATTTCCTGAAGCATCTTTTTCAACTTCCTCCTCTGTGCTCCAGAAAGTCTTTTCTTAGTAATAGGTAGTTTAGCTATGCTATCACTCACCTCTTTCACCATTTGCTCTACTTCATCATTTTTGGGATTTGCTATAATGGTATTATTATTATTATCATCTGAGGATTCAGAGTCGGAACCCTCACCTATATTTAAAGGCTGAGGTAGCTTAGAGCTCTCTCCGAGTACATCCTTCTCTTTCACCCCTATATTTTTGCCAGCGGCATGCTGTACACTTGACGCATTGTCCGCCACGGAGGCCAAGGTACCCACCTCCGTAGTAGTATTCTGCTCACGATTGCAGGATGACGACGACACGTGACTCGCGAGTAGATCAACACTTGCCGCCGGTACTGGGTTATTTAGGCCCTGCACCGTAACTTTTATCTTTTTATTTTTATTTTCCATATTTGTTTTTTTTTTTTTTTTTTTTTTTTTTTTTTTTTTTCCAGTTTTTTGGTCCGCGGGGAATATAATATTCCCAGGTGGTGGACAATCTGCCCTCCCTCAGCTTAAGTGAAATTAAAGCTGGGAGAGGACAGATGGTCCATCACCACCCCCTATCCGCCACCCGGGGACGCGCTCGGTAGGAAAAATCTGGAAAACTCCCCCTACTCCTAACTAAATTTAAAATTTTTTTATATAAACTAGTGCCATTGTTTGACCATGACATCTATACGGAGAAAAGTCAAGGATGGAGGCGACTATTAAAAGTTCAATATGTTTTTGAATGGATTTAGAAATGACCTGAGAAACAGGTTTTCGTTATCAGAACACTACTGGCTACTACGTAGTAATTGGGCGTAATTTTGGTTATAACCCTAGTGTACAATGTTATTATTTTTCTGAATGAATATGTTTTGGCAATAGAAATCATGTTCGATTTATACTTTTTATTACAAAATTCCATGAATATAACAAAAATCGATATTTTCGTTACCATATTTTTTTGACTTCGCTTTTATAGTTGGCATGTTTCTTTTACATTTCTTTTAAATACATAAAAAACATTTGAATTAAATTTTATATATATTTAACGATTAACTATTTTAACAAAAATATAAATAAATTATATATTAACAAATATTTAATATTGATTTTTGAAACAGACTTATATTAAGTGCTATAAGCATTATGTACTATGGCTTTTTTGTGAAGATAAAGAGTGAAAGAAAGAACATTTTTGTTGTCTCTTTCTTCTTAACAAAATTCTTTAGACAAAATAATAATAATAACATTAATATTTTTAAATAAAAGTTAAATTGCCGATAATAAAAAATAAAATTAAATTGTTTTAATTATAGTAAAAACTAATAAGAAAACTAAGTATTCAAAACAAACTAGTTTTTGAAAAACTTTTTTCAGCAGTGTAGTTTTTTGATAACTTAACGAAAGATTTGAAAATTGTCTATACTGTAACTTGACATTTTTATTATTTTTTTTTTCGAATTTTTTAAATATCAGACCAATTTTGTTATATTTTAAAAAATTATTTTCAAAACATTTATTTTGTTATTATTTTGAAATCATTGAATATAAAACAATGGCATTACAACCTTGGGAACGCATTGCCTGGAGTCCTGAACATGAACAGATTATTTATCGTGATTGGGGTTTGTTTTATACCCACAAACAACAGCTAGATATAGCGGTGCATTATTATAACAAGTCCCTGGAACTGAAAAGTGATGATCCCAAGGCCTTGTATTTTCGCAGTCGTTGTAAGCGTAATATAGCCCAAACTGAAGGAGCTTTGGATGATGGTTTAGCAGCGATGGGTAAGATTATGATACTTTTTAAACGAAACAATAATACCTTTTTGTTTTATCTTCATTAGCTATTGATGACAATAATGCTCCTATAAATCTGGAAATTTGTGATGCCTTGTATGAGTTGAATAAGTTTGAAGATTACAAAGTTCAATTGCATGATAATGCACGCAAGTTTTTTGGCAAAAAAGTAGCGGCCTTTCTGAATCGTTTGGTAGTGGTAAGTAGGCAGCCATTTTGATAATCAATTCCTTCTATACGAATTTTAAATTACAGGTTGATGAAAACTTTAAAGATACTATTGGTGAAACTTGGGTCCTTTCATTTTGAAAAATGAAAAAACATTTTGCTGCTGTTTTGGAGAAAATAGAGCGTGAAAAGCATATTGATCCGAGGCCTTTGTTGAAAATTTTAAAGGAACAAGAAAAATGTGATGTTTGAGTATATTGGAAAAAGAGGTAGATAGAATAGATAGATAGATAGATAGATGATAGATAGATATGATAGATAGATAAGATAGATAGAAGATAGATAGATAGATAGATAGATAGATAGATAGATAGATAGATAGATAGATAGATAGATAGATAGATAGATAGATAGATAGATAGATAGATAGATAGATAGATAGATAGATAGATAGATAGATAGATAGATAGATAGATAGATAGATAGATAGATAGATAGATAGATAGATAGAAGATAGATAGATAGATAGATAGATAGATAGATAGATAGTAGATAGATAGATAGATAGATAGATAGATAGATAGATAGATAGATAGATAGATAGATAGATAGAAGATAGATAGCTAGATAGATAGATAGATAGATAGATAGATAGATAGATAGATAGATAGATAGATAGATAGATAGATAGATAGATAGATAGATAGATAGATAGATAGATAGATAGATAGATAGATAGATAGATAGATAGATAGATAGATAGATAGATAGATAGATAGATAGATAGATAGATAGATAGATAGATAGATAGATAGATAGATAGATAGATAGATAGATAGATAGATAGATAGATAGATAGATAGATAGATAGATAGATAGATAGATAGATAGATAGATAGATAGATAGATAGATAGATAGATAGATAGATAGATAGATAGATAGATAGATAGATAGATAGATAGATAGATAGATAGATAGATAGATAGATAGATAGATAGATAGATAGATAGATAGATAGATAGATAGATAGATAGATAGATAGATAGATAGATAGATAGATAGATAGAAGATAGATAGATAGATAGATAGATAGATAGATAGATAGATAGATAGATAGATAGATAGATAGATAGATAGATAGATAGATAGATAGATAGATAGATAGATAGATAGATAGATAGATAGATAGATAGATAGATAGATAGATAGATAGATAGATAGATAGATAGATAGATAGATAGATAGATAGATAGATAGATAGATAGATAGATAGATAGATAGATAGATAGATAGATAGATAGATAGATAGATAGATAGATAGATAGATAGATAGATAGATAGATAGATAGATAGATAGATAGATAGATAGATAGATAGATAGATAGATATATATATAGATAGATATGTTAAACATTAACTAAAAGTCTATAATATTTCCAATTGTAAAATCTTTAATGAAATGTAAAATTTTTCTCCATTTATTTTTAGGAACTTCTATTATCACCACGAGAATTGGCTCGGCGACGTCGTGCTTTTAAAGTTTTCAATCAAATCTATTTCAATAAAAGTTGGATTGATGTTATATTCTTAAAACACTTAAGGGAAAATAAAATCTCCTGCTGCCTCAATCTAAAGTTTCTACGCCATTTTTGCGACAACTAACTCACACTAAATATGATGTAGTCATAAAGTTTTTGGTAAAAAACAGATAACTTCTAACTACTACATTTTCAAATATTTTCAAATAATTCAAAATTTTTCCAAATAGAAAATGTTACAAGCTCGCAGTCCTCTCTACACCGAACAAGCACGCAAGTGTCCCGACAAGAAAGTCTACGATAAACATCGAGAGGCTCACTTAAATCGTGTACAGTATCAAACACGACGCACCATGCTCTCGGAAATGCGTAATATACGACGTCTTAGACAAGAGGGAGATATAGAGGTGATATAAAATATTTTCATAATTTTACAAAATTTCATAATTGTTCCCTATTCCCTTACAGAAACTCTCAAAACATGTTGAGAGTGTTATGGGTGATTATGTGGTTTTGAAAACTCATCGCGTTATGCCCTGGAAATTTGAATATATAAATGAGGTATACAATACTCTGGCTTTGGCTCATGCCGATCTTTATACGATTGATGAAAATATATTGCAAGTTAAGGAAAAAGAACGTTTGCTAGTACTACTGCGTATGCCCACCGATAAATATAAAGATGTGGTGCAGTTTGTGTTTGGTGATAAGTCCACCTATCAAGAACCAGATGCTCCGGACTATGTTTTAATTGCTTATAAGTAAGACATTTTTAACTGAAGCCATTATTGCTGAAATTGTAGCTCTTTTAAGAAAATTTTCTTTGATTTTATAATTTTGCCAACATTTCTTTACTTTTAGAAAATTTCTCGCTCGCCTAGAGAAACGCATGATATTTGCTAAATATTCAATAGAAAAATGTTATCTATTACATGAAATTGCTCGAGCTCACTTGACACAAAGTCGTTTTGATGAATGCTGTTCTTGGGCTCGTAAAGCTGCAGAAGGTAAGTCCACTATAAACTTCATATCTTAAATAGTTCTAGAATTATTAGAAACTTCTTTTAGAAACTAAAAATTGCAATAGTCTTCTATGGCAATTTCTAAGCATTATGCTTATAGTCAAAGCTCATGCTGTTCTACATAAAATTGAACGTGGCAAAGAGGCCTTAGATGAGGCTTTTGTCATAGCGCAACGTTTGAAAAGTCAAAAATTATGTTCTTTTCTTGAAATTTGTCGTGCTATCAATGATCAAGAAATATCGTTAAAGAAACGTACACAATCAGTAGATTCTATGCGTAAAAGACGCAGTCGTACTTCTTTATCAAGTCGTTATTCTCAGCAATCAAAATTGAGTATGGAAGATGGGGCGAAGTCCTCATCGGCGAAATCGGAAATAGAGAATTAAAGGAATAATTCTTTAAAAGAATAATTAAATTGTGTTGTGGCTGACATGTAAAATATTTGCTTTATAAATAAACATTAAAAAAATCTCTTTGTTAGAAATTTTTATAGAAAATTACCTTTTTAGAAAATTTTTTTAAGAAGTTTTGGAAAAATTCTCTTTTAATAGAATTTTTTTTTTTTGTAGACAATTTTCGAGAATTTTTTTTTATAGAAAAATTTACGAGAAAATTCTTTTTTTATAGAAAATTTTCGAGAAAATTCTCTCTTTTATAGGAAATTTGCGAGAATATTCTTTTTTTATAGAAAATTTACGAGAAAAGTCTCTTTTTTATAGAAAATGTTGGAGAAAATTCTCCTTTTTATAGAAAATGTTCGAGAAAATTCTACTTTTTATACAAAATATTCGAGAAAATTATCTTTTTTATAGAAAATATTCGAGAAAATTCTCTTTTATAGAAAATTTTCGGAAAAAATTCTCTTTTATAGAAAATTTTGGGAAAATTCTCTTTTTTATAGAAAATTTTCGGAAAATTCTCTTTTTATAGAAAATTTTCGGAAAATTCTATTTTTATAGAAAATTTCGGAAAAATCTTTTTTATAGAAAATTTCGGAAAAATTCTATTTTTATAGAAAATTTTCGGAAAAATTCTATTTTTATAGAAAATTTTCGGAAAAAAATTCTATTTTTATAGAAAATTTTCGGAAAAATTCTATTTTTATAGAAAATTTTCGGAAAATTCTTTTATTTTTATAGAAAATTTTCGGAAAAATTCTATTTTTATAGAAAATTTTCGGAAAAATTGTATTTTTATAGAAAATTTCGGAAAAATTGTATTTTATAGAAAATTTTCGGAAAAAATTGTATTTTATAGAAAATTTTTCGAAAAAATTGTATTTTTATAGAAATTTTTCGAAAAAATTGTATTTTTATAGAAAATTTTTCGAAAAAAATTGTATTTTTATAGAAAATTTTTCGAAAAAATTGTATTTTTATAGAAAATTTTTCGAAAAAATTGTATTTTTATAGAAAATTTTTCGAAAAAATTGTATTTTTATAGAAAATTTTTCGAAAAAATTGTATTTTTATAGAAAATTTTTCGAAAAAAATGTATTTTTATAGAAAATTTTTCGAAAAAAATGTATTTTTATAGAAAATTTTCGAAAAATTCTCTTTTTATAGATAATTTTGTAAAAATTCTCTTTTATAGACAATTTTTGGAAAAATTCTCTTTTTATAGATAATTTTTGGAAAAATTCTCTTTTTATAGATAATTTTTGGAAAAATTCTCTTTTATAGATAATTTTTGGAAAAATTCTCTTTTTATAGATAATTTTTGGAAAAATTCTCTTTTTATAGATAATTTTTGGAAAAATTCTCTTTTTATAGATAATTTTTGGAAAAATTCTCTTTTTATAGATAATTTTTGGAAAAAATTCTCTTTTTATAGAAAATTTTTAGAAAAATTCTCTTTTTATAGAAAATTTTTGGAAAAATTTTCTTTTTATAGAAAATTTTCGGAAAAATTCTCTTTTTATAGAAAATTTTCGGAAAAATTCTCTTTTTATAGAAAATTTTCGGAAAAATTCTCTTTTATAGAAAATTTTCGGAAAAATTCTCTTTTTATAGAAAATTTTCGGAAAAATTCTCTTTTTATAGAAAATTTTCGGAAAAAATTCTCTTTTTATAGAAAAATTTCGGAAAAATTCTCTTTTTATAGAAAATTTTCGGAAAAATTCTCTTTTTATAGAACATTTTCGGAAAAATTCTCTTTTTATAGAACATTTTCGGAAAAATTCTCTTTTTATAGAACATTTTCGGAAAAATTCTTTTTTTATAGAAAATTTTCGGAAAAATTCTTTTTTTTATAGAAAATTTTCGGCAAAATTCTTTTTTTATAGAAAATTTTCGGAAAAATTCTCTTTTTATAGAAAATTTTCGGAAAAATTCTCTTTTTATAGAAAATTTTCGAAAAAATTCTCTTTTTATAGAAAATTTTCGAAATTTTTTCGGAAATTCTCAGATCTTCAGATTTTTCAATACTAACTCGTTTTTCATATTTTTTCTTCAAATAAAACAAATATTTTTTTCATTTATTAAGGATTTTCTTTTATTTTTTTTTGGGAAAAAATGTTGTATTTTGTTGTTTGTTTTACTTTGTGATGCTTATGAATACATTACTAATGTTTTAATTAATTGTACATTACTAAAATTTTATTATGTTAGTTATTTTCTTATCATCATTATTACAAATTTGAAGTATGAAAATTTTTTTGTTTGAAAATACAATTTAATGTTTTTTTTTTTTATTTTTGTTAATTAATTAGTTCTCTTTCTTAATACATTATTAATGTTTCTTTTTTAAATATATAAATGGTAATGTTAAATAAATTAACAAATTAAGTAACTAATAAAATCTCTAAGATTTTAACATTTTTCTTTTATTTTTTTAATAAAAATTTTTAAATATAAATATAACAATTACAATAATAAACCTGATGTTATAGAATTAAAACAAATGAAAATAAATTAATAAAAACATATATAAATTAATAAAAACATATATAAGGGTTTATTAACGAAATGTATGTTAAATATAACAAATTTAAATTAAACTTAATTAAGGGTTATGATAAAGTAAATTTTTATGCAAAAATTATTTTAAAAAATTAAATTTTTTATATAAAATTGAAAACCTTTATGGTATAAGTTTAACTTTGGTTTGTTTTCTTTTAAACATTTGATGATAACCTTTAGTTAATTTTAATTTAAACTTGGTATATGTACGATATTTAAAATCACCCTTTAAGGAAACAATTGTTAAAGGGATTTTTAAAATTTTTGTTTATTTGTAATTGATTTAGCAACACAAAAAAAAAAAATATTTTTTATTATTTATTCTGTTTTTTTTCAAAAAATTATGCTTTTTACGAGAAAATTCTCTTTTTTATGAAAGTTTCTAGAAAATTCTCATTTTTATAGAAAATTTCTCTTTTTATAGAAAAATTTCGAAAAAATTCTCTTTTTATAGAAAATTTTCGAGAAAATTCTCTTTTTATAGAAAATTTTCAAAAAAAAATTCTCTTTTTTATAGAAAATTTTCGAGAAAATTCTCTTTTTTATAGAAAATTTTCGAGAAAATTTTCTTTTTTATAGAAAATTTTCGAGAAAATTCTCTTTATTATAGAAAATTTTCGAGAAAATTCTCATTTTAATAGAAAATTTTCGATAAAATTCTCTTTTTTATAGAAAATTTTCGAGAAAATTCTCTTTTTTATAGAAAATTTTCGATAAAATTCTCTTTTTTATAGAAAATTTTCGAGAAAATTCTCTTTTTTATAGAAAATTTTCGAGAAAATTCTCTTTTTTATAGAAAATTTTCGAGAAAATTCTCTTTTCTATAGAAAATTTTCGAGAAAATTCTCTTTTTTATAGAAAATTTTCGAGAAAATTCTCTTTTTTATAGAAAATTTTCGAGAAAATTCTCTTTTTTATAGAAAATTTTCGAGAAAATTCCCTTTTTTATAGAAAATTTTCGAGAAAATTCCCTTTTTTATAGAAAATTTTCGAGAAAATTCCCTTTTTTATAGAAAATTTTCGAGAAAATTCCCTTTTTTATACAAATTTTTCGAGAAAATTATCTTGTTTTATAGAAATTTTTCGAGAAAATTATCTTGTTTTATAGAAATTTTTCGAAAAACTCTCACTTTTATAGAAAATTTTCAAGAAAATTCTCTCTTTTATAGAAAATTCTTTTTTTATAGAAAATTTTCGAAAAATGTATCTTTTTTATAGCAAATTTTCGAAAAATTTTCCTTTTGAAATTGAATAGAAAGAAAATATTTTCATTTAAATAGTTTCTATTTATGTTGCCAAATCTGGGTTTTTTAATTATTCATCTTGTTTTTGTTTTTATATTGAACGGAGAGTTTTAGTTAACTTTTTTTTATGATTTTTTCTGTAATCAGTGCATTTTGATTTTTAAAAAATGTTTATTTTTTTATAGAAAAAATGTATTGTAACACAGTTTTGAGATTTTGTTTAAATAGAGTTTTACTGTTTTCTATAAATGTTTCTTAATTATTGTTAATTGTTTTGTTAATAAATATTTAATTATGTTTTTTTTTTATTATTGAACTACACATAGTATGTATGTATATAATACGAGTATGTTTGTTTTTGTGTCTCTTATTAAAAATCTATTTGCTAATTTATTTCTTTATTTAAGTTAAATGTAGTTTTTATTTTATTAATGCCTTTCAATTGGAAGGAATGATTTTGTTAAATAAAAATTTTCTTATAAATTTAAAAAAAAAAAAATAAATTATAAATTAAACCAATTTAATGCTAATTAAATGATTATGTATTTTGTGTTTTGTTTATTAATTAACTTAAAATTAATAATTTAACTTAAATTAAAGTTAAGATAACATAAAATAATAATTAAATCTGTTTAAAGGAATTTTTGTCCTTTATCATATTTTTAAAGCTTTGTATGTTTAACAGTATCGGTCCAATAGTTTTGTATTGTCATGGCCTCTAATGAATTCAAAAATGAATCATTATCCAGGCTATACATTTCATCGGAATTATCCTGTAAAAAAAAAGAAACAAATTAATATCCACTCTGAAGTAAAAGTAATCAATTAAAAGTGTTTGTTTTAAACGATTTTGTCCTTACAGTACTTACACTAACACGCATCGTACTATCGTCGATATAAACACTGGAGTCCGGCTCACTTAATGCCTGCGGCTTATTTAAGAAACGACGACGATATAGTACAATGCCCACGGTACCCACCGTACAACAAATACCGAAAACTGTAAAACAAATTGCCGATATTGCACCTACATCCATAAAATAAGCGCGCTATAATTGTAATAAAAAAATTATTTTATCGATTATCAATAAGGATTCCGAATTACTCACCTGTACAGATAACGCTTCAGATCTCTCCTCACTTTCATACTCATTAACGGTCGTAGCCGCCGATCTGGTCAATAGATTCTTAGAATCAGACGAATAATTTATATAACGATTAACTTTATATTCCGCCGACAAACCTTTCGATTTACGTGAACGATGTTCATTTTCTTCGCGACGTAAATCTTCGGGTTTATTGACATTTTCCAAAGTGAAGGGTATTTTATGTGGTTCGTCATTAAAATCTTGTGTAACATCGGTGGTTACATGGGCCGGTGGTAATTGGGCTGCTACCGTATTAAACCAATCCAAATTACCTATTTGGGCTTTAACAATTTTCGGTGTTGCTGGGGCCTGTGGTAATTGGGTTGTGGTTGTTGTTGTTGCATTGTTTGTAGACGACAAAGATGTTGCTGTCAATGTTTGTGTTGTTGTATTTGTTGCGGTACTATCACTAGTATTTTTATAATTGGTGGTTGTATTTGTTAATGCTGCATTTGACTGCTCGTTAGCAGTTGTATTTGTACTGGTTATATGTTGGCTATCGGTATAATTGGTATAATTATTTGTCTCTACCACTGTTCCGGGTGTAGAGCTATCCAATAATTTCATTTCGGCTTTAGGATCTAATGTTGTTGCTGCTTTACTTTGTTGTTTATCTTCTTCAGCTGATCTCTTAACATCTACTGCATGTTCCTCTTTGTTTTCTGAGTTTGTATCCTTTTCTTTGTTTTCTAGCTCCATTTCCATTTGTTCTAGATTATCTTCTGTGGCAAAGTAATCATAATATTCTCCACCTTCTTCTTCTTCATTATTGTTGGTCGCTGTAGGTTCATTTTCTTGCTTTAGAGGATTTTCGGTGTTATCGCTTGGCTCTATGGTTTTTTGTTCTTCTACATTTTGTAGTTTTAATTTTTCCTCTATTGTGCTTTTCCCATAATTTGGTATGTCTGTTGTCCATGTCACCGTTGAAGTTTGATAGAGTCTGGTCACTAATTTATTGTTATTATCTGTTTGTTGATGATTGTACTCGAGTATTGATTCCGGACTTGGATATGTGTGTACGACCACAATAAGGGGAAAGATGAGATCTAATAAAAGAGAAATAAAAGTATTAAAGATTTTCTAATTATGGAAAATTTTAAAAAAATCTTCAAATTTTCGGAAAATTTCTCTTTTTAATAGAACATTTTCGGAAAATTTCTCTATTTAATAGAACATTTTCGGAAAATTTCTCTATTTAATAGAAAATTTCTCTTTTTAATAGAACATTTTCGGAAAATTTCTCTTTTTACTAGAAAATTTTCGGAAAATTTCTCTTTTTAATAGAAAATTTTCGGAAAATTTCTCTTTTTAATAGAAAATTTTAGGAAAATTTCACTTTTTAATAGAAAAATTTCGGAAATTTTCACTTTTTAATAGAACATTTTCGGAAAATTTCTCTTTTTAATAGAACATTTTTGGAAAATTTCTCTTTGTAATAGAAAATTTCTCTTTTTAATAGAAAATTTTCGGAAAATTTCTCTTTTTAATAGAAAATTTTCGGAAAATTTCTCTTTTTAATAGAAAATTTTCGGAAAATTTCTCTTTTTAATAGAAAATTTTCGGAAAATTTCTCTTTTTAATAGAAAATTTTCGGAAAATTTCTCTTTTTAATAGAAAATTTTCGGAAAATTTCTCTTTTTAATAGAAAATTTTCGGAACATTTCTCTTTTTAATAGAAAATTTTCGGAACATTTCTCTTTTTAATAGAAAATTTTCGGAACATTTCTCTTTTTAATAGAAAATTTTCGGAACATTTCTCTTTTTAATAGAAAATTTTCGGAACATTTCTCTTTTTAATAGAAAATTTTCGGAACATTTCTCTTTTTAATAGAAAATTTTCGGAAAATTTCTCTTTTTAATAGAAAATTTTCGGAAATTTTCTCTTTTTAATAGAAAATTTTCGGAACATTTCTCTATTTAATAGAAAATTTTTCTTTTTAATAGAAAATTTTCGGAAAATTTCTCTTTTTAATAGAAAATTTCTCTTTTTAATAGAAAATTTTCGGAAAAGTTCTCCTTTTAATTTGAAAATTTTTCATTTTTAATAGAAAAATTTCGGAAAATTTCTCATTTTTAATAGAAACTTTCAGAAAATTTCTCATTTTTACAGAAAATTTTACTAAATTTACTAAAATTTTTATGGAAAAATTTTTTTTACAGAAATTTGTTTTGCAAAATTACTTTTTTTATAGACAATTTTCGAAGAATAAATTTTTTTATATTTAATAAAATTTTAAAAATTCTTCTCTTTAAATATCCCTTAAAAGGAATTTAGCGACAACTTACTACTCATTACAGTTATCCAAAACCAATGTGACCACCAATAGAATGTCATGATTCAGCCTGATAGATGATGACTTCAATGTTGAAATAAACTGTAAAGAAATTAAAACGAGAAAAAAATCCAAATTGTAAATGATTCATTTATCAGTAAAAAGTTAATTAAATATATTGCTAATTGAGCTAAACAAAAATAACAAGTTGTAATAGTTGCATCAGCAACTCTGGGCAAATGTCATCATCATCATCATCAGCAGCAGTTGTGTATTATTGCATAAAAATACTAAATTCACTTGAAGTATGTCAAATTGATATTCATATTCAAACGTTACAAAATTGAGGCCTATAACAGAAAAAAAACCCGGTAAATTGGTGGTTTTAAAATACAATGACACTTGTTTCTTTCGAACCAACAAGTCATAAACAATTTGCTTTTGTTTTTGAAAATAACGTTAAAAAGTGTCAATACACTGAGAGTTGAAAGAAACACATATTATTGGTATTATTACAACAAGTTGTATTGCAATCTATTGTATTTAAACGTCTATATGTAGTTTTCCAGTTTTGATTGCTTTATTAGATATAGTAGAGGGGTATTCACATGAAAAGTAGCTTTTAAATTAAGTCAATCCATTCTAATAAGCAGCATTTGTAAAACGTGATGAATGTTAATTTAAATTTTAAGACGGAAATAGGAAATTTTTGCTTATAACTGGGAATTTTCTTTAAGGAAGTGAAGTGAATCCCCCTAATACCATATAGTTTGATGCGCAGTTTAATCGTATGCATTATAAGCCATTCATTCACATATTTGTCTAAAGGTACTGAGGTGTAAATCAATTTGAAATATGTCGCAAAAAATTTCAAATTAATTCCAATGATGAACAATACAGTAGTCGTAGCGGCATTTGCATTTTAGTACAAGTTTACACATTTCATTCATTTAGTTTTTGTTTTTAAGTGTAGGAGACCATGATGCGTATTTTCATTTGGTTTTTAAATTATTTATTTTTATGGTACAGAGATTGTTATGTAAATATTTTATTAGAAACAAAAAATTGTTAATACAAAGTTTACAAATTTTGTGCATAGTGTGTAACGGAGTTTGTTAACAAAAAAAAAAAGCATAGAGGTGTTATTATTAACATTATTATGTAAAGGTCATGTAATAATTAACATTGTTTACATTGGTTTTTGTATACAATTTCCTATGAAAAGAGAATTTTCGAAATTTTAAAAATTTTCTATAAAATAGAGAATTTTTCAAAAACATTAAATAAAAAACAGAATTTTTCGAAAATATTCTATAAAGAAAAGAGAATTTTCTCGAAAATTTTCTATAAAAAAGAGAATTTTCTCGAAAATTTTCTATAAAAAAGAGAATTTTCTCGAAAATTTTCTATAAAAGAGAGGATTTTCTCGAAAAATTTCTATAAAAGAGAGGATTTTCTCGAAAATTTTCTATAAAAAAGAGAATTTTCTCGAAAATTTTTTATAAAAAATTGAATTTTCTCGAAAATTTTCTATAAAAAAGACAATTTTCGGTAAAATTTTCTATAAGAAAGACAATTTTCGGTAAAATTTTCTATAAGAAAGATAATTTTCGGGAAAATTTTCTATAAAAAAGAGAATTTTCTCGAAAATTTTCTATAAAAAATTGAATTTTCTCGAAAATTTTCTATAAAAAAGACAATTTTCGGTAAAATTTTCTATTAGAAAGACAATTTTCGGTAAAATTTTCTATAAGAAAGACAATTTTTTCGTAAAATTTTCTATAAGAAAGATAATTTTCGGGAAAATTTTCTATAAAAAATAGAATTTTCTCGAAAATTTTTTATAAAAAATTGAATTTTCTCGAAAATTTTCTATAAAAAAGACAATTTTCGGTAAAATTTTCTATAAGAAAGACAATTTTCGGTAAAATTTTCTATAAGAAAGATAATTTTCGGGAAAATTTTCTATAAAAAAGAGAATTTTCTCGAAAATTTTTTATAAAAGTGAGAATTTTCAAGAAAATTTTCTATAAAAGAGATAATTTTCAAGAAAATTTTCTATAAAAAAGAGTATTTTCTCAAAATTCTTCTATAAAAAAGAGAATTTTCTATTGAAAAGAATTTTCTCGAAAATTTTCTATTAAAAAGAGAATTTTTTCAAAAATTTTCTATAAAAAAGAGAATTTTCTCTAAAAATTTCTATAAAAAAGACCATTTTTTCGAAAATTTTCTATAAAAAAATAAAATTTTCTATAAAAAAATAATTTTCTCTAAAATTTTTTATTAAAAAGAATTTTCTCGAAAATTTTCTATTAAAAAGAGAATCTTCTCGAAATTTTTCTATAAAAATTTTAATTTTCTCGAAAATTTTCTATAAAAGTGAGAATTTTCTCGAAAATTTTCTATAAAAATTGTCTATAAAAAGAAGAATCTTAACGAAAGTTTTCTCTAAAAATGAAAATTTACTCAGAAATTTTCCATAACAAAGAGAATTTTTTGGAAAATTTTCTATAAAAAATAGAATTTTCTATAAAAAAAAGAGTTTTTTTCTCAGAAATTTTATTTAAAAAAAGAGAATTTTTCCAAAAACTTTCTATAAAAGATAGAACATTTCCAAAAATTTTCTATAAAAAAGAGAATGTTTTCGAAATTTTTTTTATAAAAATGACAATTTTCTCAAACAATTTTTATAAAGAAAGAATTTTTTCGAAACTTTTCTAGAAAAAAGAGACATTTCCCGAAAATTTTCTATTAAAAACGATTTTTTTGAAACTGTTATATAAAAATAAAATTTTTGCGAAGCTTTTCTGTAAAAGGAGAATTTTTCTGAAAATTTTCTATTAAAGGAGATTTTTTTTGAAAGTTTTCTATAAAAAGAAAAATTTTCCGAAATTTTTATAAAGAGAAAAATTTTGATCAATTTCCTCTCTTATTATAATTTAAAAATCTTCAAATACCATTAGGTGCTGAAATACTTTAAGTCATTAAACTTAATTTAAACATAATAGTTGTCAAATATGTATGTTTGTACATATAAAAAATTTGACATGCACATTCTTTTGTTAAACAAATAACCAGCAACAAGTCATTGTTATAAACATACTTCGTCTACAAACTACAATTTATATTCAAATTACATAAATTTGATTATACGGTAAAGTAAACAATAAAATAAAAACAGCTGTTAACAATCAAAAATAAATTTGGCAATATATAAAAAAACAACATACACAAACAAATAAGAAAAAAATATCGTAATAATATAAAAAATATAAAATGACACATTTAGACCAGTTTTGTTTATTTTTGACAGATCTGCCCAAAAAAATTAATAAATTAAAGTTAATTTTAATACAACAACAACATTTAAATAAACAAACTCTATTTCAATTTAAAATGACTTAATCTTAATTGAAATGCAAATTTTAAAACAAATTGTTATATGTACATAATTTAAATAACAAGGTGTAACTGATCGTTTTTATAACGTTTTTACTTAGCCTTGCCAAAAACATCGTTTAAATATTTACATCTGGCAATTAGAATTTATTGTGTTTACGTTTTTGTGTCTTTGCTAAATTCTTTTTCTTTTGTTTTTCATCTGGCAATTCTGTTTAGTTTTCTTACGCGTGTTTATTGTGGCCGGTTGCAAAGTTATTGCTAAATTTTCTTTTATTAATTATTAAAAAATTATGTGTGTTTTTGTTAATATTTTTACATAAATTTGTTTATTAATTGTTATAATTTATGGATTTAATGAAAGTTTGTTGTAATATCAACGTTAAAGTGTTAAAAAATGTGTGTGAATATTTGACAAAATTATGCAAATTAAATGGAGCCCTAGGGCTCCGCTAGTGAGTTGTTTGTTTATTATTGTTGATGTTTTGTTGTTATGATGCAAGAAGAGGAAGAATAAAAAAACGCGAGATAAATGCAAGTGTTTGTTGGTGTTTATGTGTGATTTAATAGAGAGTAAAAATGCCGGTATTGTGTTTATTTATGAAAATTAAGTAAATAAATATGAAAAATTTGAAAAAAGTAATTATATTTAGAAAAATCTATGGCATTTAATTGCAAAAATAAAATATAGTGAAAATATTAAAATTTAATAAAATATAATAATTAAAAAATAAAATTATTATTACTTTAGATTTGTTATTGCTTTTAAATAAAAAGTGTTAAACAAATCAGAGCTTGTTAGATGCTACAATTTAAATACCAAATAAATTATAATAAATTTCCATGAAAATTTGCAGAAAATATCGTCGAAATTTTCAAAGGTAAGTGAAATTATTTTAAAAAATTCTTATTTTATAGAAAATATTTTGTAACATTTAAAAATTATATTTGCTTTCCCTGATTGTCTTTTTTATAGAAAATTTTCGGAAAAATTATCTTTTTTATAGAAAATTTTCGGAAAAATTATCTTTTTTATAGAAAATTTTAGGAAAAATTATCTTTTTTATAGAAAATTTTTGGAAAATTATCTTTCGATAGAAAATTGTTGGAAAATTCTCTTTTCTATAGAAACATTTCGGAAAATTCTCTTAGCTATAGAAAATTTTCGGAAAATTCTCTTTTTTATAGAAACATTTCGGAAAATTCTCTTTGCTATAGAAAACTTTCGGAAAAATCACTTTTTTTATAGAACATTTTCGAAAAATTCTCTTTTTGATAAAAAAAATTTTCACAAAATTCTCTTTGCTATAGAAAATTTTCGGAAAATTCTCTTTTTTATAGAAAATTTTCTAGAAAATTCTTTTTTTATAGAAAAAAATTCTCTTTTTTATAGAAAATTTTCGAGAAAGTTCTATTTTTTATAGAAAAGCTCTCTTTTTATATAGAACATTTTTGGTTATTTCTCTTTTTTATAGAAAATTTTGGAAAATTCCCATTTTTTTATAGAAAATTTTCGAGAAATTTTTTTTTTTTTATAGAACATTTTTGGAAAAGTCTCTTTTTAATAGAACATTTTCGAAAAGTTCTCTTTTTTATAGAAAATTTTAGAGGAAGATCTCTTTTTAATAGAATATTTTCAAGAAAGTTCTCTTTTTTGAAAAATTCTCTTTTTTATAGAAAGTTTAAGGGAAATTCTATTCTTT